ACACACACACACACACATACATACATACAGTTAACTATATTTAACTTTTTTATTCAAGGCACCTCTGACCTCTTCGTTTCTTAATGAAACCTTTGCATGCTAGATCCCAACCTGTGGGAGAATATACCAGTACTACTGTGATGCTCAGGTTATGTATCATGATATTCAGGTACAATTCAGGCGCCGAGATGCTTGGTCCCATTCAGAGCTCAGATGCTGCTATGGTTTGGATAAACATTTATTAACATTTATTAAAGACTTGGTTCCCAGACTGTGCTACTGGAGGTGGCGGAGGCTTTAAGAGATGGAGCCTAGTGAGTTGTCTTCCCATCACTGGGGGAGTACTCTATAAGGGGAATTGGCATCCCAGCCCCATCCTCTCTGTCTTTTTCATCCCAGCCATTAGATGAGCAGCTTTGTCCCAACACATGCTCCCAGCCATGATGCAATGCTTCACAAAAGACCCCAGAACAAAGGGACTCAGTGACCATGAATCAAAATAAACCTTGTCTTTCTTGATTTATCTCAGATGTTCTTACAGCAATGGAAAGCTGACTGACATAGATGCTATTCAGGTGTTGAGATGCCCGGTTACCATTCAGAACTCCACAGAAAGTGCTAGCTCCAGTTTCCTCTTCTTCTCATCCCAGCCCAAACATGTTAAAAGGCCAAATGGAAGAATAAGAAATGTCTAAATGATGGATATCTTGTCTTTTACTTGACCATAACCCGAGCCCATCTAATTGATTGATTTTAAATTGTTACCACAATTTTCTTCTAGAGACAGGAGAAAAAAGAAACCCTTGTGACTTCAAACAATTTCCTAGATATATATCAACAAAGAAAAGTGTAGTTGGCAGATGTGAAAGCAGGAAAGCTTTTCCTTCCCTTCTCCATGATTCTTTGCAAATATCAGATCACAAATTAAAAGGCCATTAACTTCCTGAATTATAGGCAGTGCCATCTTCATTGGCATCTGGACAAAAAGACTAGAATGAAAAGTTTTTATTAAAATGATTTGAAAGAAGAACTTGAGACTTTTTTCTCTTCAATATGTGAATTTTATTTACCCTTCCAACTGATTTATCAGAAAAATAGAGAGATCTAAGTGACCAGTGACTAGGACATACAGTTCAGGATTTCCAGAGAGAACTGCTAAAATAGTTTCCAATTTTTACTTTCTCTTTCCATTGATCACTATAAATAGAGAAAATGTATCTTCTTAATTCAGGTCAAAAATAGCTAAGTAAAGCAAATGATGCTCCATAAATATACACATATCTAATAAAGCCATATTTTTAATAATTGGAGAACTAACTATGTAACAGGTGAATAGGTTGCTGAAGCTTTAGCACCAATCCTTACACTTTTAAAACGGCACTATTTATTTTTGACATAAATAATTCTTATTAATGTGCTTCCCTGCCTTCTCAAACAGAATCTACTATGTGCAAATTAAACAGTTATTGATGCATTCAGGCTATCATTACGGACACCTACTAATGCAGAGGTACTGAGGTGAGTCCTGTCCTGTTTGTGGCAGTACTAAGGGAACATGCTGTTA